TTCTCTAAGTAAGCGATACGATTGATATAAATTAATTATGATAAATACACGATAATAAGCATATATTAATCTTTTACTATAATTTAGTTGCAACATTTTACAACATGGTTTTTTCATAACTTTGACGTTGAAATATATATTATTATACGATTTTTAACATACACACGAAGGTTAGTAACTATTAACTAACATTTAAATAAAGTAATAAACTAATAACCAAAAGAAACTAAGAGGAAGGTACCTAAGTTACATTCGAATGCTTTATATATAAAACCTCAACAAAACCTCTCCCTTTCACTTCATCTTCTTCGATTACATCACAACAAATATCAATCATATTTTTCTCCTCGATCAAACTTTGTTAATACTCCGGCCAAACAAAAACCAATGGCGGTTTCGAATTCTTTAACAATCTCTCCAAGAAAACTCCGGTCCGATCTTTACTCTTACTCCTACCAAGACAATTCCGAGACACCTCTGGTTATCTCTGTTTTATCGTCACTGATCGATCGAACACTCACTCGGAACCAGAGGATTAACCGGAGAGCGTCTCCGGCGTCGTATTCCTCCGGTGGTAGTGGCAAGACTCAGATCTTTGATTGCCGTGAAATTCCCGATATGACCATCCAATCGTACTTAGAGAGAATTTTCCGGTACACTAAAGCCGGTCCTTCGGTTTACGTGGTGGCTTATGTCTACATTGACCGGTTCTGTCAAACCAATCCCGGTTTTAGAATTAGTTACACCAATGTACATCGCCTCCTCATCACAACCATCATGATCGCTTCTAAATACGTCGAAGATTTGTAAGTATTCCAAAACGAAAATTCATACATTTTGGATTTTCTCTTAAACCTATTTTTGAAAATAAATTTCATTTTTCATAAAAACTTCTATTTCTAATTTGGTTTCATTCTCTGTTTTTCAGGAATTATAGGAACTCGTATTTCGCGAAAGTAGGAGGATTAGAGACAGAGGATTTGAACAGATTGGAGTTAGAATTTCTGTTCTTGATGGGATTCAAATTACATGTAAATGTGAGTGTATATGAGAGTTATTGTTGTCATCTTGAAAGAGAGGTTAGCTTTGGAGGAGGTTATCAAATCGAAAAAGCATTACGTTGCGCCGAAGAAATCAAATCTAGACAAATGATCGTTCAAGATCCTAAACATCATCATCATCAGTTTGCTCGAATCTTGTTGTAGACAAAGAAACTCTGTTTTTTTTTGTTGTTTTTGTTAGTCTTAGTTTTCTGTCGTCTTTTGCTTTGTGAGCTTGACTTTCTGACAAACTTGTTAGTTAGAGTTTATATATTTGTAATTTTTGTTTGGTATATATGGTGTAAATGTAAAGTATAGATGCGTAGAGATGATCGGTGATGCAAGTATGAGCATTTTAGATTCAATATCTATTGAATTTGAGAAGATGGTTTCATGCAAACCTATGTCGTTGCGTGTATCTAATGATCAACATAGCAATAGCAAATTAATATCAGTATATTGCCTATCCAATTTCGAAATGTAAATGCAAATTTTGAGAGCATGAGTATCCGTGATACCATGGGGTATCATCAACATTAGTTTAATAATTTAGTCTGCCACATGGCTCATGATATGTTTAATCCATTTCACTCTATTGATACGTTCTACGCGAAAAAATTTATTTTAATTAATTTTGTATTCAACTTTTTTTTATGATACTCTTTGTTGTATCATGAGTAATCATGATTAAAAACCATTCATTTTTTCAATAATGTGGAATGAACTTTTAAACCCGAAGATAACAAAGAAAAAAGAGTTTTTTTTTAAAACATAATAAAAAGGAGTTAAAGTGAAATTTCTTAGACAGCCACTACCTATATGTTTTAAAGATAAGCAAGTTGATCATTTTTTACCATATATATGAATGCTAAAGATAGGCTTTGGTGCTTCTGATTTGGTGTCGAATAATTGCTTAAACGGTGGCTTAAAAATATAAATTATTACTTATGGTTTTAAAATTCTTTAATTAAGATATCTTATTAAAACTTCTCTGTCCATTATATGTCCACCAACTTTTCTAATTATAAAATAATATAGTTTCAGATTAATTGAACCTTTCTCATTTTTTTTTGGATATAGGAAACCATGATCGGGGCCTAACTGGTGACATAATATTTGAGGAATGTGGAGGAATTGCAGAAAAAAAATTACTCCATTACCAGTTGCACTTGTGGAATTGGGAAGAATAAATAGCAAGTGGACCAAATTTAATATTTTTTAATTTGTTATCTTTTAATAAAAAAATACTTTTCTACAAAACATTAGTTTTATTTTTCTTGTATGTACCAATACGATGAATCAATTTGCAAAAGACACATGATTCAGAAATACAGAAAATGGTACGTATTTTAAAACAGATGTTGTTTGATAATTAGCAATAACTAAAATGTATACTTCTTATTAATTTGAATGATTATTCCTAAAAAAATTAAATTATTGATGAAATATATGAAAGATAATTTAAAAAATAAATGTTTTTTTGGTGTAAAATCTTGTTTAATTACAAAGTTATAGTAAAAAAAAATCACGACATAATAGATCAAGACGGATGAACTATATTGGATAGACAACTCAAATTTTAATTATATATATATTTAATGAATTATTCGTATGGACAAAAAAATAAGTAATGATTATTGGTTTGTGTATTTTAATGAATAAATATATCAAAACCAAATCCAGT